GACAGACCATCTCTCTTTCTCTCTCTCTCTCCCACACACACACACACCCCACGCGAGCTTCTGCGTAATCCATCCTTTCACCTAACTTTGTCAAGACTGTGTCACAGAAAAAAAAAAAAAAAAAAAAGCGCCTTTCCTTTCATTTCCCTGCATTTTCATACAGAACTTCACTTGTAGAAGACACCGAGGGCAATAAAAGAAGGGGGGGGAAATTTGTAAAAAAACGCCGAGGGTAACGACGAGGAGGAGGAGGAGGAGGAGGAGGAGGAGGAGGAGGAGGACGACGACGAAGAGGACTAAGCACGAGGGGTCCCACTAGCGAAGAGGATAGGATCCAGGGTCTGAATCTGGACGTGTTTTATGCAGAGACGCAGAAAAGCAGATCCGTCGCGATTTTCTGCACCTCTCTACGAACACGACCAGATTCAGGCACTAAATTCCAATCAACTTTGCGAGTCGGACCTCGCCCTGCGAATTCATGGAGGCAATCAACTGACCTTGACAAGCGCAGCCGCCTGTTTAGCGTTGATCCCGATCAAGCGCAGCCGCTGGATGACGCCGGCCTGGAGTCGCGATAGCTACGACAAGATAGATCCCGAGGCCGATGCCGATCCCGATCCCGATCCCGACTTCAGCTTCGCATCTGCAGAACCACAAAGACAACTGCAGTCTTCTTCTTTTCCTCTTCCAGGAGAATTATTCCCCTCCTCGCTCCACCTGCTCCGCCTCCAAAGCCTTAACCCTCGTTAATCATCAAAGCCCCCTCCGACCCGTAAAGAAAAAAAAGAACGGGGGTGGGGAGGGGGGGCGGGGAAGGGGAAAGGGGTGAAATAGGCGGGAGACTGTGAACGATCTACCACCGACGGCGACAGAACCCGTACCCCGAGAAAGCCAGAGCCGCAAGTATGAAAGAGACGCCAGCAGCAGCGGCTAAGGCGGCAAATGAACGTGACAGACAGCAGTACGATGACGACAACGATGGTTATGGCTACGGCTATGGCGGCAGCGATGGTGGAAGAAGCACCGATCCTCGATGTCGTCCCCTTCTTCCCGATGGCTATGGCTATGGCTATGGCGATGTCGTTTTGCCGGCCACGAGTAATAATGATGGTAATGACGATGAGGAGGACGATGACGTGACTATGGCTATTGCAATGTTGTCGTTTTGCTGGCCATGAGTAATACCTGTAGTGATAACGATGGCTATGGCTATTGGCTATTGACTACGGTTGTAGCTATGGCTGTGGCTATGGCGATGCCGTTTTGCCGGTCGCCGCAAGTGAGATAGCTGTAGCGATAACGATGACGATGACGATGGCTATGGTTTTGGCTATGGCGAAAAAATGAACCCCTTCTTGATGGGGGTTCTGTGAGAATGCCGCTTTGCCGGCCAGGGGTTGAGAAAATCCGACCGAATAAGGGTCAGATCCCACTACCCTGGATTAGTCATTTTTGACCCTCGATTACGAAGATCAACGGTCAGATATGAGCAATAGGGGCTAGTGGGAAAAAGGGTCAGAAACTCCACAGGGCGCGCCAGTCCACCTGCCAAACGGGACCTCAGGGACTGCCCGTCTTCCCCCGAGCACAACGCACGCTCATTCTGAATGTACTGGGCCTGGAAAATTGTCTCTATACATTCACTATCGGGCTGCGTTATCGTCCGTGGAAGACGGGTATAGCAGCGTTTCGGTGTGAGAGAGGGCATCACGGAACACCGGTCCAGCGTACCGTTGCCTAACGGGGCCAGATCCCACTAGCCCCTATTGTTCATTTCTGACCGTTGATCTCCGTAATCGAGGGTGAAAAAAATGAATAATCCAGGGTCGTGGGATCTGAACAGGAGGGGAGTCCCCTCCGAGTAAACGGGCCTCCCTCCGATAAAAAGGAGGGCCCCCGGAAAAATCAAATAGATAAAGAAGGGGGAGCCCTTCTTTTCTTTTCTCTTTTTTGGGGCTCCTGAACAAAAAGAGGAGGGCCCCCCTATTTTTTTTTTATTTGGACCACTTTTTGAGGGGTCATGCTGAGAGTTGTGCTCCACCGCAGGTGAGTTTCCCCTTTGCCGCATTCAGTCATTGAAGTATGGTGTTGCATTTGTAATAATCTGTGAGGCTCCGCTACCCACATATTCATGACTCTGTGGGGAGTTTTACAGCCTCAACGTCGCCATCTGCAACGAACCTCCCAGTTCAACACCAATGAGAGCTCACTTTCACACCACTTGCATGCATGAGGTCACACGAAGTTCACACTGAAGACCAGAGAGATTAAGACCAGATAGCGCAGCTCAATAATTTCAACAAGTTATACAAGAGCAATAAGAGTTCCAAGTCACCAGCGCTCATCAGCGCATGTCAAAGATAACCACTATCCAGCACAAACTTCCAGGTAAGTATTTTCTTCCTCTCTGCTCTTCTCTCTCTGTTGTATCACCCCTCCTTGCTGGTCTTCTCCCTAGCTTATGACCTCGCTGTATCCTCTCTCCCTACATGCATACACACTTAACTTCTACTGAAAGATCTACTCTGAATACACCCACTGTCAACCCTACTAACCCCTCTGGAGTCGACTACTAACAACTAGCTCTAACACTTCTGCACTGGCGCAACTATGGCTGCCTTCTCCTTACCAGCGCTATCTTCCTCTCTCTCTCTCACTTAGCGCAACACTTTGGCCTCAGCGGGTGTATCTCTCATATATTACATTCGCAAACCTTCCTTTTTATTTATTTTTTTCGCCGATATCTGCCACATGAACTGGGTCACATAAAGGGAATGGTGTGTGGATAGTTGGGTTGAGGTTGCACGTCAGTGAAAATACCCGTCTGCTTTTCGTTCCATCTGTTGGCATCATGTCCAGCAGCTCAGTCCGGAATACTGCAGGTCAATATAGGTGTCACACTCTTTTATGCATGTTGTGGTACTGGTTACTTTCAAACCCGACAAAATAGCAGGTTTAGGCTTGTGCATTTAACATCTAGGCTACCGAACCCGCCCGGCCGGGCGACCCGGGCCCGGGCAGCCCGGGCCCCCCGCACGGGGTACCCCGGGCAAGTGATTTTTGGCCCCATTTTTTTTTATTTTTATTTTTAACTTAGGCGGGGCATTTATGCGCCCACCGAGTACTGCTCAAATCCGCATCAATTTTTTTTTTTCGATGTATGGCCCCGAGGGGTGGGGG